GAAATTCAGCATTCTGTTATGTGCTGGACTTTGATACACTTCACTGACAAAGATGAGAAACAGACAAATAAGTAAAATGCACTGAGGGGGGTTTCTGGAGGCAAAAGAGGAGGCAGGCACCAAAATCCCATCACTCTTCCCATGGGAGCTCTGCAATGAAGTACTCTTCACGGGTCTACCTTTATTTTTTCTAATCTTAAATGAAATTAAGCTAGATTGTTTTGTGTTCCTGTGATAAAACTACCTACTTGACAAATGGTCCCCTCATTACACTTTCTAGAGGCTAACCTACCACTCATCACCTGCTGAGAAAAACAATTAAGATAAAACAGTAACTATCTGATTTAGACACCACAGTGAAAAAAAAACCCACAAAACCAACAAATACTAACTTGACAGAGAGGAAGGCAGAAAACAGAGCAGAGTCACAGAGTCATCTTGTTGAATAAAAATCATTGCCATAAAGATTAAACTGAAAACCCATAAAAGAACTCCCACTCAGTGTGTAACAGAAAGTAAGCAAATAAAGAACTAGAAGTTAAGTCTGTGTACTATTAAACCGATTAAAGATATCAGATGCTACCAAAATACTCATGCCAGAGAGCAGAGATCAGGACACAGAATTCAACTTCCAAGAAGGCAGAGGATCCAGTGTTCAGATTCAAGCTGTGGTTTAATATTTTCTTTTATACAACAGACCTCAGTATTCTTGTGAAGAGGAGATTATCAGCAGTGGACAGGATATGTGCTCTTGTTCTTCAGGACTTTGATCTCCCCTGTGTTCTGTTGTCCTGTCTATCTCCAGTCCCTGAAGTTTTCCTCCAGGAGACCTCTTTCGCTTTAGTCCATACAACTGTCTTCACTCAGGCATCAAGGATTCCTTGCATGCGGGCCATGAGCCTTCCTCAGTATAACGCTTTCTTGGTGACTAAAATCCCACTCAATCTACAAAAGGTGACATCAGGGCTCTTCTAGGTTCTCTGTTCCATTTCATCCACATACGGTGTGGTTGCCCCCAATAGGGTCTCAGTTTCCCATATCCCCAGGGTTACCCTCAGCCCATTCCCTCTGCCCTCCTACTCCCCTGCACCTCGGTTGCCTTCCACATTTCCTCAGTCCATTTCCCTCCTGTATCCTCTGACAACCACTACACAAGCGGCTCAGGTTTTCTGTGTGCTGATCCGCCAGCCAGCAACCTAAATGACACAAGGAACTGGTGAATCCAGACCACACTATTTTGGTCAGTGCAGTGAGTCTGTCTTCTTTATGCTGCCCAGATTTTCTAGAAATGTAGAACTATATAGTGCTGAGAACTTCACTGTTTTGTCAGATTCAATTGGAATTGATCAAAGGGCTTTAAAGGTAATAGGAAGGAACTAACAAGACAGCACAATGCCCAGGAGAATAAAAACATCTGCATGAAGTCCCCTGATCAGGCCTTACATATGTCTACTATGTCTACCCAGTTGTTTTCCTGCAGCTGATTTACCTTATATCAAATTTGCTAGGTTTGGTAGAACCAAAAAATACAAACCTGAGTTTGTAATGTCTAACCTATATGTCTATACGTCAGTGCTGTCTAGACACAAAAGATATTCTCAAATGTATGTTCTGAGAATGTGTGTGTGTTTTTTAGCAAAGCAAATGTTAACACTGGCAAAATTCTGAGTCTTCCATCTTAGATGCCACATTTCTACAAAAACAAATACATAATGAAATGCAATACCTGTCCTACAGCAAGCCACTCTGAATTCTCCAAGGACAATGAATTTTGACATAATACTTCTCAGTTTCACAGTCTTCCTCTGTCTCAGGAGAAATTTGGCAAAGCTTAGCCCAATTCCCTCAGACATCTGTTCATTCACATAAAAAAAACAAGCTGGAATATTTTCCCAGCTGAGATACTACCTTCTGAGAAACCAAGGCTCTTTTATTTAAAATCCATGTGAGACAATAGTTGTAGGGAGTTCAATTTCATTGTCTCTGTCTGTTGTCATAGCAACCCAGATAAATTGGGCGTGAAGCCAGAGCTGGGACTTTAATTCACACTTCACAGACTATCTGAACCACATACCCACATTGCTTTCTTACGGGCAGGTTTGTGTGCTGTTATCCTTCCGTCACCCCAGAGCTGCACAGTCACATGCATCAGACGTGCCTGCGCCTGTGAATGGAGGTGTCTGCAGTTCTCCCACGTGAAACTGTTTCTCCTCTATATGCTGAGCCCAGAACCATGTCAGGACTGGCAGGAAGCGCAGAAGTCACTGTCCGGCCCTTCCCTGCATCTGTAGGTCACTGGGAAGCCACACACACCCAACCCTAGAGCAGGATCAGGGAGGGCATCACAGAACTTCTTACCTGCGATGTGGACGGACTATTTTTACCAGTGTGACTCATGGCAGCAATGCCCTGCAGACCTGAAGAGGCTTTCCCTGTGCTGGCTGGACCCACTAAGAACAGGCCCATCTCTCCTGAAATCAAACAGCAAGGAGATGGGAACACGACGTGCAGTGCCCAAACCAGAGAAGAGCACTAATTGCTGGCCAAGGGCATAGGCCAAGAAGCAAAGGAAGCTTTTGCACTTTTACCTCAGAGGCTGCATGAAATCTTTTTGAAAGACAGGAGAGTTTCTTTAACATCAATTCAGTGTGGTGCAGGGAGAATTATTTTCTCATAGGAGATACACAGTGCATTGCAGGAGTGGAAGGAGTGACGTGAAGAAGGGGTTGGAGATGGAGGGACGGCTGAAGAACCACTGTGGGTGTGGGACCTGAGGTGGGACCCACCTGGTGGGAGACTCCGAAGCAGAGGCACTGTGGAGTTCGAAGACATATGTTTAGCTGCAGCTCCATCACAGACCACCTAGGCCTGACCTGGCATGTGCCACTGGCTAGGAGGGAGCCAGAGGGAAAGTGACTGTGTGAGGCAGCTGCCAGGTCTGGCTGGCAGAGGTGACTGCAAAAAGAAAAATATTGTGGCGCAACAGAAAAAAAATTGCGAGGCTGCACCTTGAAAGGCAATATTCTGTGAAAGCTGAGGGCTCCCTGGGCTCACATGTATTTCACTAAGGGGAAATTGGGCCGTGTTCAGCACAATATTTTAGCCACATCTATTCCCTCAGCATCACAGTTGCAGGCAAGACCTCACCACATGATTACTGTGAATTAGACTGAGAGGGACCAAAGGAGCTGAAACATAGTGATGTTGCCCTAGTCATTAGGGATGGGCTGTGCCTTACCTATCCTGATATCCAATTAAATCACAGTAGAGAGAAACATGACAATACTGGAAGGATTTGTGGAGGTGAGGAGGGAATGTTTCCATCCAGGTTGGTTTAGATTCAATTCTGCATGAGGGGCAGAGGGTAGGGCAACTGTAAGACCATGAGAGATGACAGGATTTGCATACTGTGTTGCACTTTCCTAGAAAAAAAAGAAGGAGGAGCATCAGAAACTCATCTGGTCTTGGAGCTTCTGATGAAAATACTGTGGAGAAAGAAGCGGAGGACACCGGTGCTTAGTGAAAGAGATGTTATTAAATGTCAGATGATCCTGATGTGGAGGACAGGCAGACAGCACAGCAACAGGCCATTGCAGCTGCATCCATATGTCCGCAAGACTGTCAGAATCCAACAGGAGGCTTACAAAGCAGGGAAACACAGGCGTGCATCTGAGGACAAGAGTAAAGGAACAACACACCCCATAGCAAGGCTAAGGCAGCAGCGTACCTTCCTGCTATCAAGCAACACAGAACTAGTAATAAAAGTATTTGTAAATGCATCAAAAATGAGAGAAGGGCAAAAGGAAAGCACTGGCTATTAGCAGGAAGGAACGAGAGCTACTACAAGCAAGTCTGGTAAAGACTGAAGTGTCCAGACCCATTTGGTTCAACCTTCACAAAAATTAATTTTAACTCTATTCTGCGTGAAATACATTTTATAGCAGAAACAGGAGTACAGGTGTATGGACAGGGAAGGAAAATTAAGCAGAATGACTAGACATGGGCAGGTTTGAAGTTCACCTCAGCAAGTTTAAGCACCCCTGTGAGACCTAAGCCGTGATGTCTGTGACTGCACAGGCAGACGTGCTATGTCCCCGGGGAAGGGAGGACAAACACAGAGGCCAGCCTTTCCATGGAAGAAAGGAAGGCACTGGTAGTGCTTTTAGGCCACTGGTAATGAGTGAAAGATATGAAAACAGATTATCCAGAAGTCAGTTGATAGACATGGAGTAGACAATAAGATGTTAAAGGAAACAACAAGGTGTCAGACAACAAGAAACTCCTGCTCTCCTGCGCTCTGCCCCTACTATACGAGTCTGGAAATGGAAGGAGAAGAGGGATTGGAAGTCTCACTCATACTTTCTTCCTATACTATGTATGTTTGATGGTAGTCTTCTGTTCTTACTTGTTCTTTCTCTTCTGAGTTTTCCTGCTCTTCACAGTCTCTTTGTGTCCTACCCTCTTCCCGCTTGTTCAGGTCCTTCTTCTCTGGTCCTCCATGTTCCTTCTAATCTCCTCCAGTCATGGTTCCCAACTTTTTGCAGTTCCCTTTCAGTCTGCATATATTTCTTCCCATTGTCCTTCCCCTTCCCTCTTTCTAGCTCTGTTTCTATGAATTCTGAATAGGATATTCTGTCTCCAAGAAAAAGTCCCAGCCTTCCAAACCAGAACTATATTTGCCTCAAAGCTGAAAATCTCACAGATGAAAATCTCACAGCTCAACAACTCTAAATATGACTTTTAGGAAAGCATTTCTCAAGTGTGGGCATAGTTTCAGTGATTTTTTATCACATCAACCGCAATATAAATCACAGAATCACAGAATAAATAAAACAGTGAAATTTTCAGATTCTAGAAAATATCCCACATGAGATTCTAATAATTTTGATATACAAGATCAAATTTTAAAATCTCTTTTATATTTACAGCTTTCAGCAGTTGAAAAGACATTTCTTAGCATGTACTTAGAAAATAAGTGCAAATAAGTAGTGTTATTGCAAAAAAAATTTTGATGGTTTTAAAAACATTTTAATCAATATAGTCTGAATTATTTTCTGATTTCCTACAATGACTGATTTATTTATGGGCATTTATCTATGCTAAAGATATTTATTCAGCCAGTTGATCATATCCCTTCTTCCTTCCTCAATATAAGGTTTATCTTGAGGATTGATATCGTCTCTTTTGCGATGTACAAAGCCATGCGTCTGTCCAGGGTAAATTTTAATTTCATAATCAACTTTACAGTTTTGTTTAAGCTTCTGCTCCAGTAGGGTGACCTGTAACACAGAATGTTCCATGTTGGCTGAGTATGGAGTTAACATGTTATGTATTTACAGCCCACAAATCGTCCTGTTTTTTTACTTTTCTGGGAGACAGACACAGTGTGTCTTTGCCACCATTTTCTCTTCTACTAATTTTATACCTAAACGCATTTCTGTCACTGCACTTTCTTTATTTAACTAGGCTTTTTTCTCCAGTAAAATAATAGCATGTGACTGTATAAAACTGCCAAAAATTATATGGGTGACTGTAATAATACCTGTAAAGGTAAAAACAGCTATCGCTCAGCATCATGAGAAGATTAGTATGTAGTGATTACTGTACAAGTTACTGATGATAGACATCACAAAAAAAAGGGGGGGCAAAATTTTGAATGAATTTGAAATTGCAGGAGGAGAGGCACAGATACAAAATTGGCAGTTCAAAGCTACTGGCATTTTTGGCAGGAAAATTAAAGCCAACACCACTCAAAAGCCTGTCTTCCTCTTTGATCCCCCTGGTAGATAGTCATCTTTCTCCAGTCATTCTCCACCTGGGCTCCCCAGGAAGGCTGTTGACAGAGCACCAGAAAGGAACAGCTCTGCAGGACAGTGGGGGAAGGAAAAGGATAGTCACAGGATTTTTTAAGTCTCCTGCAACTAGTGATTCCACCGGTATAGGTGTGGGACTTTCTGCTCATTTTACGCAACATCGAGATGATTACAAAGGGTCTCCTATCTTAAACCTGACAGAAATCTTCCTTTGAATTCTTGTCCTTTTCCTCCTAGGAACTCTCATATATATATCATCCATATTTTGCAACAGAAACAGAAAACTTCTTTAGTGTCACTCTAAAACTTTTTGATTTGGGGATAAATATAAATTTGTGTAAAACTACTGTAAGAGTTAGTGAAAGAGGAAGAAAAATGCAAATTAGCTAGCTACTTTCTCTTAATTATATATCAAGTTACAAAACGAGCACGAAAAGCATTAAAAAGACAAGTATGTCTGATGGGAATCTCACCTGCTCCAATGGGATGTGGTCATCCTTTTCAGCAAAAATGAAGAAGGTGGGATGAAGCAAATTAGATCTGTCTTCAAAGAATCTGATCACTCCTAAGGAAGGAGAGGCATACACAATGAGTTATGCTGCTTAAAGCACTTGAATCAGTACCAAAGCTACACAATCAAAACAAAAGGCATTCTGATCAGCTACAGCTGATTAGTTTGTAATGGAATTAAACATGTTTTGCTTCAAAGTCCCTTTTGTTGTGAGAATTTCCTGTGATTTGGGCTGTCATTAAAGATAGAAAGGCCAGCTCTGTCTGAAAAAGTCAGAGAAGAATTGTTACATTTGCCATGTTCTTGTGGTTTTCTTTGGGCATCTGCTTCTGACCACTGTCAGTGAAAGATGAACACTTTAGAGCTGCTTGCCTCTAGCATGGCCTTTTTAAAGATAATTGTAAATATTCATCATTCCAGATAGGTGGCTAGGATTTCAGTGTACATATATTTACACTGATACAAATTCATAACCAATTGATATTGTAATTTTGACTCTTCAAATATATTTGAATTTAATTAACAGTAAAACTAACTAGCTACCACCCTGGCCATTCTTTTCATTATTGAAATTATTACAACAGAAAAGTAAAAAAAATAGCAAGTAGCATTGTTGAATTGACTCAGCTGACCTGCAAAGCAGTGCAGCAAAATAGTCTGCATAAAATTTCTTGAAAAATACCTTCAAATTCTTTCACCCTCAACGAATATAAATTGCTCTGGGTTACAGAGAGGTACAGAGGTTTATAACAAAAATATTATAGGTAGCATAAATACTTTAAGAATGGAAGTGTGAGAGCGCAAGGGTTAAAACAGAGAGTTAAAAAATGGTTCATGTTAGTAACATGGGACCACTGCCAGCAGTAACACTGAGGAATAAGTTGTTCATGTCATGGCCTGAAGGTCTGTGCAGCCCTGGCCCAGATGACTCATCATCAGAAGACCCTGCGCTCTAACAGGACAGCCAAAAGGCTGCAGTCTGTCACTACTGCCGTGTCTTTCCCTGTTAGCCAACAGGGGAACAGAGCACAGACGTGTGTCAAACAGGTTTTCCAAACAATGAAAAGCAGACAGGGGGCAGGAACCTGTCCTGACTTATGCAGATTGAGGTAAGCAAGATACTAGCAAAGATCCACCTCATAGTAACTGCTGGATCCTAAAAGATATAAAACATGTGCCCAGAAACCATTTGGCATCACCAGCCAAGAGGAACCTGAGCCATGAAGAGGCCTAGGCATTCAGTGTCCTTTGCAGGCTTTGTTGCACAGAAGCGATCCTGGCCAGGCCACTTGAATACATAGATCTTGCTGGTTATGATTAAGTGCAAAAATGTGAGTGTGGAAAATCAAATTGTTTATAGATTCTGTATAATAAAATTGCCTTCTTCCATAAGATGCCATGCTGAATTTTGTTACAGTAGAAATCCTACAAAGTAAGTTCCTGCACCGGTCATGTCTGCTCAGAACGTAATAGGTATTTCAGACTTACCATAGAGGGACACCCCCGTCTTTAAATGAGGATTTTTCAGCATAAGATGTTGTACTGCTGCTCCACCCCAGCAAAACCCAATGACACCAATCTTCTTTGCTCCACATTGTTCCCTTAGATACTTCAGGATGACATCAACTTCTCTGAGACATGTAAACGAAAGTGAATTAAGGCTCTAGCTCCATTCCCCTGGCCTCCAAGGTGGCTGCTGCTCAGAGACTGCCTGGGCAGCGGTCTGCTTATGGGAGGTGGTGAGCGACTGTCTTTGCATCACTCCTGGTTTCCCTCTTTCGTTCACTTATCAAACTGTCTTTATCTCAACCCACAAGTTTTCTTGCTTTTTTCCTCCTATTCTTTCCCCTGTCCCTCTTGAGGGGGAGCAAGTCAGCGGCGGTATAGGTGCTTGGCTGTCGGCTGGGGTCAACCCACAACACTAGTTTACTATTATTAATTTCTAAAATACAAGAGAAACTGCACGGAAGAAGGCAATGGAGCAAATCAGTCTTCCTAGATCACTGTTAATAGAACCTAAGGGGATTTTATAAATGGCAGCCCAATTAATTTCACAAATGGCAACAGTTGTCTTATAGGCTAACCAATAAAAGTTTAAGAGACACACAGCCAGTCAAGAGCATCCCATTATCACCAATGTGACTATACATAAACTACCTCTCATTAGAGAGACAAATATTTTATGAAACTGTGGAAGTAAATTCGAAATTGTTGCTTCAAAATCAGCAGTAACATTGTGCAATCAAGCTACGTGTCAGATAAAAATGGGATAAATAGAGCTATAAGAATGGGAAAAGTAGCATGCTTTGAACTAGCTGGGATCTGATGGGGAGCAGGACCAATGTGCCCCAGTTAAATAGTGTTTGGTGACTACTTTTGCACTGTCTGAAATCTATGGAAGTTGTGCCTGCCTGCAGGTACTAAATCAAACTGAAGTGGAAGGAGCAAGCTGCATTTTCTAGCCTTTGCTGGTTCTTTTGAGTCATTCACCTCACTTCTACTGTCTGCAGAGGTAAACAGTGGGCACTTTTATTCTTGTTCAAAGCTCTACTTTTCTCTGAAAAGGATCCCTCACATAACCGTGAGCTTGGCCCACAAACTGCATGAAATTTCTGTTCGTGGACAACTAGCTGTATTTGACCCATTAATAATTTATAATCTAATCCTGCATCTTTGCTGAGGCAAAAATTCCTATGAAAGAAGGATGTCCACTCGCTGGACAAGGAACAACAGTTGTACTTGTCTATTTTGCCGGCATTTCGGGTTTTCAGCCAGTCATTGAAAGACGCCCAGTCATTAGAAGGTTTCCAAGCTTCTTGTCCCACAAAAAAATCTGGGCAGATGGCTCTGCAAAAAAAAAAAAAGAAAATATTTTATGACCATGAAATAATACTTAGAAAGAATTAAAGGGAAGTCCATGTGGACTATACAACAAATTCATCTTGTTGAATAGGCATAGAATTTAATCTACATCAAAGCACTATACAAGCAAACCTCATTATTTTTCAATGTCTAATAAGTAGACATAGCATAACTTCCAGATCCATTTTGCCCTGTTAAAATTCATTAATTAATTTGACAAATCGTTAACTGCAATTGAAAATCCTTACTGGTTTCCCATCAAACAACAAAAAAAAACCAACCCACATTACAATTTACACGGTACGTACATTTGGACTAGAAGGAATACTAACCCAGTAATACAGGAAAGAAGATACACAATATGCTTTTCACATATTTGAGAACTTGTTTCTTCTTTCACACAAGCCGGTACACTTTACCTTCACAGAATGACTTTTAGCTTCTCTGGAATTTTTATCGTAGCAGTGAGGTGGCACAGATGCTACGTCAGGAGGGAGGAAGCAGGCTGCTTCGACCTCATGGAGGATAAAAGATGCAAAATAAGATTTTTCTCTGTTTCCCCTCTCTTCTTCTGTGCTTGCCTACTATCTCATTACAGCAGGACTAGTCAACTATGTTAGAATTCTTACACTGTTTTAACAACAGGAAACTCTTTAGAGAAGCATGTAAGGAAAGCCTATTTTTGTTCAAAGACACTTTGAAAACAGCAGTATTTCTTACACGTATCCATTAGTGGCAAGCATATCAGCCATGTATCTGGTGTTTGGGAGTTGCCACCCAAATATATCATGAATCACAATCACAGCTTTATCTGCGCTGGCAGGTGGTTTGCAAACATACGCCTTGATGTGCTCAACCTGCACTTCTTGCCCACGGCCTCCGTAGTCAAACCTGTCTCCAATGTCACACGGGCAGGGCCTCGATTCATTAGCCATGTGTGATACTAAAGAACAAAAAATATTCAGTTGTGAATACCACAGTGTGCCATACTGACAAAGATCAAAACACAGCGGTATCCTAGACTGCCAAATTTTTGAATCATTACAGCAATATTGTGAACATGCTGATTACTGTTAGCTTGAAAATGCAACGTTAGTCAATAAGCCCACTGGGTTGTTTTTTATAAATAATAATATTGTTAGAGTTACTTATGTTACGAACTTTTCAGCAGGGACCTGCTACATAACTAGGACTTCCATGCCCTTCAGTAAGTAATACGTTAAAAATAAAGTTATGACCAACCAGCCAGGCAATCATCACAAATTATTTAAATAGCAATGAAGCCAGTTTTTTCAGTCTTCATCATGTCTACACCCTTGTCAGGAATGCATAACTTTCTTTGGTATAGACTGTAAAGGCTTAATACAGGACTTAGCATTCTGAAGAAAAAAAACCCCACAGCTACAGTGTAGAAAGATATAATTACACTTAGATTAAATGTGATCTTTTCCTCCAGAAACTTAAAATATTCCATAGCTGACTTTTTCAGTGTCAAGAAATCCTTTTTTTAAACCAGCTTTATCCTCAGGTGTTGCAGACTTTTGAAGGACAATACTTAAGGAAGGTGCCAAGAAAAATACACCAGTGAAAGCCAGAGTTAATTTAATATTAAATAAGTAATGCATTCAAATGCCAAGATAGGAAAAAAGAGAACTGAAGATAAGGAAAAGTTCCTGAAGTTGAGCCAAATGTTTTATCAGGAAAGCAACAGTAGAGTATGGTTAATTTTTTACAAACCATTGCTTAAATGAAAATAAACAAGTAATTTGCAAAGGTCAAAAAATGCCAGCAGAATTAACACAGATTTATGTAGGTCCTTGATTTCAAGTTAATGATTTTATGCCACTGACCTTAGGTTAACCAGCTGGGTGAAATGATTTCATATTGCTGCAAAATGACCCAAATAACTTATTTGAATATGCACAGAGTGTCTCCAAGAGCACAGAGTGAATTTAGATAAAGCTTTCCACAGATCAATTGTGTGTACTATCTAAGAAAAAATTGCTAGTACAGAAAAAGCAAGGATGTTCAAACTTGACTATGCCAGATATACTCACAGAGGGAAATGGGAAAAAGCAGATTACTGAACAAGTCCCTGCAGCTCTTTCACTTTCAAGACTCTCATGAGTCCTCCTCCTGTGAGGTCTTCCTCACTTCAGGAGGGAAAAATGAAAGGTTTCTGAACCACCATTTCAAACAATTAAGGAAGAAAGTAGCCCCCTGATAGCATTTAAATGAGCATGCACTCTTTTAAAAAGCACGCAGATAAAATGAAAGTCCCCAACATGCTGAGTCAGACCTCAGCATGCACTTGTTTTACATTTCTCAGGAGGAAAAGCCATGAAATTTAAAAAAGAAACCAAACAAAACCCACACATACCTGTAGCACAGCAAGCGTGTGAGATAGTGGAGGCAAGTCACAAGAGCTCAGCGTGGATGGTTACCACTGAACGTGATCCCAGAAGTGCTAACTCATAAAATGAAAGGGGGGAGCGCAAGGATCAGGTTTCTTCAAACAAGAGTTACGTAAGTTACTGCCTTTATCTTTGCGTATGGCAGTCACAAAGTTAAAAGTTCATCTTTTTAAAGCCACTAACTTCATTGCTAGTGTGGGCAGGGTGTGCTACTGTCAGGAGTACTGCTATAGCTGAGTACCAAACCTTCCTTTTAGCTGACACAAAATGGTATTGAGCACCGGAGGTCTTTTCTTTACAGCTTAGGAAACATGTTGACTTGCTGAGCAATTCATTTAGACAAAGCTGCTTTTTTTTTTTAAGGGTTGGCGTAGTATCACTTTTAAACATTACATTCCCATTATTAGTATTTCCCTAGACTACTCATCCATTGGTAAAAGACACATCTGAAGTCAGCAGCGGGGTGAGGTAGCAAAGAAGAGACATCGTTTCAAAGCTCTATACAAGACAAAGTTTACATACTATAGGAAAAATATTTTCTCTTTCAGAGTGAAAATAACTAACACATAAAAAGGTAACAGTTTTGTAGGTTGCTGTACAGATCACTATAGTAAGTGTTTAAAATGCTGACGTATTTTTATCCTATCACAGGGCATTTTATACATTTTTTTTTACTTTTGAATTAAAATGATTGCCTGATCTTTGTATCCCTCCCATTCTCCTGATTTTCTTTTTATTGATTAGGATTATTCTTTAAAGAGCTTTATGTAAGGATATTAGCCATCCAAAATGCTCAGAGGCACATCTAAAAAGTAGCACTAAATGCATATGTCAATCTACCATATTTTTGCCTTAGGAAAGCGACGAGTCTTACAATTTAGACCTCATATATCAGCTGTTTTCCTGTATTCTAAATAACTTTGTCAATGCTATTTATTTACTATTTCTAAAATGAAGTCAAACAAAATTTAAAAAAAAGCCTACCAAAGAACTCCAGAGTGAAGTCATAAGGTTCAAAACCCAACCCTTTTGTTTTGGTTTGTTTTTTTGGCTTTTCCCACTTGTATACTACAAACAACAAATTACAGCACACAGGGAGCTTAGATACACCATACCAACTTCAAAGAACAGTAGTAAAATAAATGTAAGAAAAATTGGCAGTTTAAACCATTCCTAGAAAAAAGAAATTACATCAATGCTCGCAGAACCTTCTCTCCACTAGAGTTGCTTAACCACATTTCCACTCCCTCAGTCATAGCAACGTGGCTCCAGAAATTCTTCTTTATACCTAAGACTATTCCTCTTCACCTTAATATTAATTAAATAATTAAAATTAATATCACCTTAAATATAAATGGCTTTTAATTTGATTTCCTGTTGTTTCATGTTCCTTGATAGGCAATCCATGCAGTTTACTTAGAATTCAAAACTTAATTCAACACATTCATGAGCTCTGCACGTGCAGTTGTTTGCACTCCGTGCTGTAAACACATACCTCTTTTGGATCTCGCATTCCAGCCCTTACTCAGTGATGTACAGTTTTATCACGAAAAACTTTGGCTGTACCTGCGGTAACTCTCCAGCTACCTGTGCACTTCAAACGAATGCTGCATCCCAGTTCCTCGTTTTCTTTTTGCTTAGTCATGGTGTTGGTGTCACAGCACACAGGCTGTTTCAGTATTTGTGAATGACTGCTGTTCGCTAAATATATGACCTGCTCGTTCTCTTGCACGTTAGCTAACCTTCCAACGCTAATGGCACTCCAGTAATGTGGAGTTATCCAGGTTTTACACTGGGGTGATCAAGGTACAATAAACATCCAGACCTCTACCTTCTTCTCATGGAAAAATGCGTTAGGAGAGCTGTATCACCCAGGTAACAGCTGGATTAATAAATTACACATGGATGGTATCATATGAAAAGCAACAGTTCATCAGCAGTCGCAGCCCAGAATTCTCTGAAGACCTCCCCATGGGAAAGACAGGGGGCCACTAGCGGCATGTAAAGGAAGAAAACATGGATGGGAAAAAGCAAAAGAAATTAAATCCCATTGAGAAAGAGATGGTTAATTAATACTGTTAATCATTTTTACATGAGGCACACCACAATGTATATTTTTCTGACAGTATATTTAATTTGAGAGATTGTCATTAGCGAAATTAAGACTTTTCTAAATTAAATTTTCTCCCCATTGAATCGCATAGCAGTCTTTATCAGTAGCACTGAGGAGGTGAAAAGTGACATCCATTCTTTTTTTTTTTTCCTTACAACTTTGGAAGTACCAGCACCCAGTGAAGATACAAGGCAGCTGCTTTCACAGGAACGAACGACACAAGCCTTTCTCCCCATGAGGCATAATTAAACCATGGAAGTCACTGTCACAGGGTGCACAAGAGGTCAGCATTTCAAGCAGGTTCAAAGAGGGACTGGCAAATCCACAAAGGCTAGGTCCATCCATGGCCATTCCACACACCGCTCCAGTGGCACCATCCCGCTCAGGAATCCCCTGAGCAGCTGGCTGCCAGGATGCGGAGAGGGGAAATTCCCCACACAGCCGCTGCTGGCCCCTGACGGAGGCTGGGTGCTGAGACAGATGCAATCTTGAGCTGACGCAACACAGAGATTTTTGTCGTATCATCAATGGAAACAAGATACGTTATGCAAAAACATGTAACATTTCTTCTTTAAGCAGCAACCGTGGTTATAAGCTACACATCAAAATGCCCTGTCTGCAAATTGCGTTGTACTTCTGAACTCCTAAACTGACTAGGAAATCATCTACAGAGTTTCACAGAACCAAAGGTATCTGAGAAAGTAGTATCCCTTCTGATAACCTTAGCCACAAATTTTGAAGCAAGATACACCCATTTACATCACCTGTTAAATACAGATCTGCTACCAGGGCACAAGTCAAAAAAGCCTAGTCTCTCAAAACGAGCTTCACCAAACAATGTATTTGTGTCCCCAAATTCTGGACTTGTGATTTATGTAGAATTTAGATGAATAGTGGCCACAATACCCAAATAGATTAATTTACCATTAGTTTAACTTATTTCAAGCATTAAGATAAATCTCAAGGAGCTGGAGAACATTTCACAGCATATTAAAACATGACACTGCTAGGTGAGATCTAAGACTTCTACAAAGGAACATAATATGAAAGCATCAATTAGAATCTACTGACAAAATCAGCTAAAATATTCTGTTTGCTTGTTTCTATTTCAACAAAATCTGCCCCCAATTTTCTAAAATGTGCTATCAAAAATCTCCTCAGTGTGTTACAAAATTGCGTTGCAAATTAAGTTGCTTGCTCTTCTATTAAATGTATTTATCCAGCCCATTGATCATATCTTTTCTTCCTTCCTCTATATAAGGCTTGTCTTGAGGACTGATATCTTCCCTTCTGCGATGTACAAAACCATGAGTTTGTCCAGGATAAATTTTAACTTCATAATCGACTTTACAATTTTTCTTTAGCTTCCGCTCCAGCAGGGTGACCTGCAATACAGAACACAGTAGGAGCTATATTAATATAGCCATATTCCATGCTGCCACTCCTCGTC